CTCCAGGATTGGAAGTTAGCTGCTCCAGATTGGAGAAGTGAAATTTTCCATTTTGGAGCAAAGTGCTCCAAATAAAAAATTTTGCTGCTCCAAAGTGCTACAAATTTGCTGCTCCGAAAATTGCTCCAAATTGGAAAACCTCGGTGGCATTACTGCTTCATGGGAAACCCGAGTAGAAATAACTTTGTCCCATTCATATTGGAGCAGGATTCCATTTTATCATGCCAGTTTTGCAGAGGATCGTAATTCTTTTTGAAAGGCTTCTCTTGTTTCAAGTGCGTGCTTTTGCGAATATTGTGCATTGCTTAGGCAAGCTCTGACTGCTTATAATACAGAGCCAGGGAGCCAACCCATAGGAACGCATTTATCTTCGATTCACGAACTCTGTGCGAAAGGCATTATTTTAATTGATTTAGATGTGGAGGTTAACGTCCCAAAACCACCTTACGATTCGGACACCATCGTGGAGGGCTCCGGAAAGTTTGGCCACGATGCCGTGTACAATCCTTTGCGCACATTTTGTCTTTTGGCGGAGCGAAAAACCCTTTTCAGGGCAACTGCGCAGTTCCGCTGGAAAATTTCTTAGAGTGTGGGGTTATAAAAAGCCAGCATGACGTTCAAGAAAGTGCATGAATCACACACACCTTGTTGCTCCAGCCATACCAGCTGTATTGTGTAAATCCATCTCTTGCGGGCTTTTACACCATTTTACATAAGTCGGCCTAAAGTCTGATAATCACCCACAGTTGTCTTGTGCATCGTTTGGGGTGACGATGGAGATAACAGTGCACAGCAGACATCATGGGAACCTTTCTCTGGAGCTGTGCTGGCTTCTAGGAGAGTGTTGAAAAGAAAAGAAGAAAGTGGCATTTGTACGACTGCTTGCTGATGTCCAGGGGAGCGAAATGCACATAGAAAGGAAGGAAGGTGTGAATGTTCATAGAGACAAAGCAAGTTCAGTACTAAGAAAAGGCCAATTGTGAAAGTTTCATTAGTGATAGGTCACGTCTGAGCTTTGGGTGTCGATATAAAGTGCACAGTACAGACTGTCCTTAATGTGAGTCTCCACTATCTGGTACAGTCTAGACAATGTGTCACCAGAGTCGTAGGTATCCTAGCTATAGGTGGTGCCACGTTATAAGCAAAATATTCTTTTCTAGCAAAAGTACATTAACCGTATTCTAGCAGTTTCTCTGCGGCCAGTCATCGCACCGCGAGCTGAGCCGTTGGGTTGCCTAGCAACCACTGCAGCTGGCAGTGCCATCTGGCATAACTTTGGAGAAGGAGCCGGTAAATCTTTATTGGTACAGCAGACGGAAAGCCGGCATTGTATCGTATACATAGGCGGGACGACTCAATTGGATTCACCGGCACATATGGAAAGTGATATGGAAGTTCTCGGAAGAGAACGGTGCTCTGAGATAGGTAACAGTTCACTTGAAGTTGTAAAATACTATGTCTACTTAGGACAGGTGGTAACTGCATAGCTGAACCACGAGATTGAAGTAACTAGAATAAGAATGGGGTGGAGCACACTTGGCAAGCACTCTCAAATCATGACTGGTAGATTGCCACTATCCCTTACGAGCAAGGTATATAACAGCTGCATCTTGCTGTTGCTTAGCTATGGAGCAGAAGCATGGACTTACAAAGAGGGTTCAGCTTAAATTGAGGACGCAGCGAGCGATGAAAAGAAAAATGATAGGTGTAACCTTAAGAGACAAGAAGGCATAGTAGATCAGGGAACAAACCGGGGTTAAGAATATCGGTCAAAAAGAGGCAATGGACATGGGCGAGGCATGTAGCGTGTGGGCAAGATAATCGCTGGTCATTAAGGGTAACTGACTGAATTCTCGGAGAAGGCAAGCACTTGTAGTACCAGAAAATTAGGTGGGCAGATGAGATCAGGAAGTTTGCAGGTATAAAGTGGCAGCAACAAGCGCAGGACCGAGTTGACTGGCAGAACATGGGAGAGTTCTTTGTCTTGCAGTGGAAACAGTCAGGCTGATGATGATAATAATGGAAAGTGACTGAGAAACTGAAACGCGTGCATTGTGTTGTTTTCCGACTGTCTCTGTAGGAGATTGTCTGATTGCGACAATACCGGTTGTACAAAATCATAAACAAGTGAGCGTGCAGAAAAACAAGCCAAACAATAAGCCAGGTTTTTCAAAGGCTGCAAGAATGCAAAATATAATGAGCAAGTAGCCGCATGCATCCAAGAATTGGTGTATGTTACCGGGAATTAGCCTATCATAAATTTATAAATGTTGAAAGTCCAAGAATCCCCCTTGACGACAAAATGAACGCAGGAAAAACTCCAAACAAAACACTCTCCTCTCCTCGATTGTGCCGACTCCTGTGCTTAGAATTGAAGGACACAGAAGCACTGTCGAACAGTGACCAAAATTGTGCTTGATTCAAGTTGTTCGGCAGAGGCACAATGTCAAACATGGCAAGTGTCATTAGAGTGTTGCAGTTTGTTAGTCGAGCAACAACTCAAGAACATGAAAGGGGACAAATCTGACACATAATATTACAGTGGAAAACGAGTCTATCGCATCTCTGGGTAGAAGTGCTTGGACGCACGTGTGATGCAAACAGCCCTACCATATACAATCGACCCTCGTTAACTGAAACTTGATGAGACCGCTGAATTTTGTTTGAATTATCAATTATACGTTTTCAGATAGATGACTCTGGGCGAGATGACACCACACATTATGATCAGGCATTCATTTTATCACATTTAAAAATTTTTCAAGTATTGTTAAACCCTAACTGCACTCAATGAACAGAGGTGTAAGGTCCACAAGTTTATTGGGCATTTACTCCTGATCAGACCTTTTAAAGAAATTGTGAATGGCCAACTGCTTCTTTGCTGTAGGTATGTGCCTTGAGCAGAAAGCTCTCTACACCAGTTGAGAAGCATCACAGTTAAACATAAGTGTGCTTCATTTCTAACATTTGTTTACTAGCAAATCCTTCTTTCTTGCAGGCCTGAGGTGCTTACTTTTAATTTCTAGACTGTTACGATTATATAAGCATGCAAATTTTTAAATATTACTGGAAAAGCAGCAGATATTTTCTGGTATGGAACAGCAAAAAGTATGAATTAACCGAATGATGGAGTTTTAATTAAGAGGCCTTCAGATACATTGAAAGAATAGAGGGCCAATCAAAACATTGAATTTTGTTTGAATAAACTGAATGTATGAATTATCAGAGTTTGAATTATAAAGAGTCTACTGTAAGTGGCGTTTCATCACGACCACTGCCTGAACTAAAGCACATCGACGGCTCCCGCTGAGGAGCATGCATTTGCACTGAAAGAAATGATGGATGCGTTGGTAGCACTGATATACTTGCCCTCGCTTGCACGGTTTGCCTCCCAACACTACAGTCAGATTTTCTGGACCCTCAAAGGACCGTGAAAACATCCAGTGAATCGGGCAGTCCTGTAAAACGAATACAAGCGAAGACACACTTTTTTTTTTTAATAGGTATATTTCGATGATGGAGAGGGTCACGGCAGGAGTACAGGATTCTCATTGCAATTGAGCAAATGTATCGTTTAGGCGCTCTGAAAAGAGTCGTTTATATTGAAAGAAAAAAGATAGTTGTGGCCGGCACTACTGCATCAGTAAACACTAGGCACAAAAAGAAAAAAAAAAGTTCAGCTATTGTAGTTTGCACAGCCTTTCACTTGCCTGTAATGGTGTCTAATTTCAGCTAATGCCATGCTGTCGCTGTAGACCAATGACTGTGTCGGTGCTCACGTCGACTCCAAGGTCATTGCCTGTGTAGGCGCTCTCTTTGATGTCGGTGTTGGAGTCGAAATTTTCCGGAACTTGACGAATGATTTTGTCATCGGTCGATTCCACACACAGGTTAAGGTCTTCGTCACTGTTGGCGAAGCCCTCAAAGGTTATCCCGTCTGGAATCGAAACACCGGCAACGTGGAGATGGTCCGCAGGTGGGGAAGTTCGACGTACACGCTTTCCACTCTGGGCGAGATGGCTGCCTCGGCGTCTAGTATGAAGCTCGTGTGGCGAAAACAGTTGCGCAGGGTCTGTTGTGTTAACCACCTTCAGTGAGTCTGCAAGCATGCCGACAGCAGGCTATAGGTATACAGGCTGGAAAGGTTTTAAACCATAGGTAATAACTTGTCCTTTTTCGCTGTGGGAGTGCAGGCTGCACAGTACGAAGCAGCAGCTGTGGCCACAGGTTTGACTAATATACGGTGGGAAACGGATTGGCGTGCGCTGCATTGCGCCATTTGCTGTTTCAAGGGTACAACAGCTGCGGTGCTTGGGTGAGGGTACAAAAAATACCGAAATGGCAGCGTCGATACTGATTTCGAGTTGGCCATGGAGTCTGTGGTTAGCGGTAAAATGTCCGGAATATCGGACGGCGAGAGCTATAAATGTCTGGAATTGTTGACTTTTTAATACAATTACTTTATGGCAAGCTTGACAGTGTCGCAGATGAGTCCGGAAAATCAGCCATGTCCGGAATTTCGGACGTCCGACTTTTTAATACAATTACTTTATGGCAAGCTTGACAGTGTCGCAGATGAGTCCGGAAAATCAGCCATGTCCGGAATTTCGGACGTCCGAGAAATCGGATGTTGACTGTGGTTGTAGCAGTCGCGCCCCTTCAACGCCACTACCTGGGGCATAAGAAATACTTTGACATTCGGCTGCTAGAAGCTTCTGGAAGATCAATTGCATGTTTCCGTAGTGATTTATCGATCTACCAGCTTTTTTTTTTTTAATGAAGCAATGTCTACTTGATCAGATTTGACACTCATGTGGCTTTTCCTGAGGGTGTATAGTACATGTTTCAGGCATATCTCGCCAGTCATGGTAGTGGTAATGGCCATCCTGAGTGGTGGGAAGTTGTGTGTTTGTAGTGAACATTGTTCGGGATTCAGAGGAATGCAAGTGAACTTGTGACATAATGAAGACTAGCCTCGTTTTTGTTTTTTTGTGTTGCAGGGAAGAAAGCGAAAGCGTTCTTCAGCTTAAAGGACTCACACCGACTGGGACTCTGCCATTGGGAGCCCTTTCTGGCGGCAAAACTTCTCTGCGCAATGGTGAGCAACTTTATACTGTAATTACTCGCATAATTTGTGCACCCCTAATATTGCCACATTCTTTCCTCAAGTTTTGCTACTGCCTCGTTGCACTGTCAGTAATTCTCAGTTCAAACCACGCCTGCAGTGTTTGAAAAGTTTCAGGACTGTAGTAGATAGTTTTGTTAAGACTACGCTCAATTCGCGAACATTACAGATTATTCTGGAACTTATGTGGCCACTAGCGATAACGATAGAATATTCGACGGCACGTGCTTTACCGCTTGTCCGCTGATCGCCGCTATCAGTGCCAGTGTCTTGCTGTAATCCAACTTTCCTGTTAGTGGCCACAAGCTCAACCCAATAACCAGTTTAACCTGAACACCCAGTTTGTTTCCTTGATCAGCGTCACGCCTCCTGACAATATTTTGCCAGCTTTACTAGTCCCTTCTTCTGAGGACTTCCCCTCAACTAGACTCCATAGAATACCACACCCAAACACTCAAACCTGTTGACAGATCGCCGGAACTGCTTGAGCGCTTACTCTCACTCTCTACCACCGTGAGAATGCACGCTCGCATCATAGGCCAGACAACCTTCCACATTGGAGGCGCACGAGGGCCTGTCACCCTGTCGTGCCAACTCTTCGTCTTGTTTTCTGCGCCCCGTTCCAACACACTCTTGGTTCATTTCGCAAGGTTAGGTTTTGCTATCTGTTTGTCACATTTATCCTGTTTCCTTGCGATGGGCCACAAAACTTACATATACAATGAAATTCCATTTTCTGTTACAAAGTTTGCCGAAGAAAAGTGAACTGTGCCGCTGCTAAACACTTGAGCGTGAAGTTCTTTAACGTATGACAATCGGCGCGATCAGTACAAGAGAAAGCAGAGTAGTTCATGCTTGCTAATACAAGTTTCCTACCGTTGAAGGCCTTTTCAATTGTGTGCAAATACTTAGGTCCCCCGGTATCGCAGTGTCATGGGATTTACCGCAAAAACCCGAATATAGGTCGACCCCCCCCCAAGCTTTGAATCTCTGAAAAAGAAAATTTTTAAAAATTGCAAAGTATTGTGGCGCAGCCTTAACGCGGTGAATATGCAACACAACCAGCTGCACTGTGGCGACATTTTTTTTTATTTGAACACGAATCCTATGTAGTTAAGGGAAGACACCAGTCTTGGAATGAAAATTTGTATTATTGTAGAGACTGTACTGAAATTAGGTGTGTATATGTATTTCTTCCTCATTTAAAAAAATATACTTAGTTTTAATGTACACTGACTTGGTAAAATTTCGGGCGCACACAGTGGATGGGAGAACAGAAGACTAGGAGACAAACAAGCACGCTTTTTTGTCTCCTAGCCTTCTGTTCGACCGTCCACTGTGTGCGCACCGAAGTGTTACCAAGGATGTCGTCAAACCAGCTCGCTCAACTTTCCATTTTATTACAGTGCACCAACTAGTTATCAAATTGTGAGAGCATAAGTGAAGTCTAATTGTGAGATTTTTTACGGGCCGTTAAGGGGCTCTTTCCCTCAGAAAAAATGTGACGCGTCTGTTACCCCAGCCAATGGAAGACTGGGAAAGGCGCGCTTGAAAAGCGCACTGTGTGAGGGCTAATCGGCGATATGGAAACCACCTTCAGAAAACCCGCGACAACAGCCATTCCACTTGAGAGATGCCATTTGGAAATGGCGCAAATTGTACACAAAGAAAACAGCTTTAAATCAAGCATAAGATGGCGGCGTGGCATGTTTGAACAAATTTTGTCCTTTTGGGGGCATTTCAGTGTGACCAGGGTGCATTGAAAGCTTATTTTATCACGTTTTCCGACCGAATTCAGTGTTAGCAATTTGAGAGTAGGTACTCAGAAATAGAATCGCCCTTGAAAATAAGCTTTGCAAACAATCGATTTTCTGACCATTTTTGACCGTTCTAAGACCTTTAGAATGTTCCAAGACCCTTGACCATTCTGAGACCCTTCTTAAATGCCAGAAAGCCACAAAATGTTGTCAATCTGACTCGTCCAAACTTGAGTCTGAAGATGTTAAGTCTTACTAGTAAAGTCCCAAAGTGCATCGTCCTCCGTTCCATCCATGGCGTTACTTATGCAGTGTTTGCGGAAAGCCGGAAGTACGCGTCCTCAGTGCAAAGCTCTTCTGCTTCATAAATCGGCGCACCAACAATGGTGATCCCTTGAATTGCATCCTCGTGAGCCCAGGTTTGTGCGTTATCTCGAGAGCTATTACGCGGATGCATTCCGCTGTTACGGGTAGTGGCTTTACAAGCAGCTCCCAGACAAATTCGGCGAGTAGCATTTCAAATTTAGGGTGCACTGCAGTCAGTCCACGAAATGTTTTTTTTTTTTTGTTGCTGCAGGATGTGATGCGCTGCTTTTGGCTCCTCCAGTATTGAACGCTTTTGTGCGATGCACCGAATTCCTGTTGTGCCACCAGGTTGCCATGCACTTTGACATGCTCGATAACTTTTTTTTTTTTCATAACTCTTTTGTTACTGCGTCAAAATGGTTGTTTCTCATACCGTATTTTTGCGCGTACAACCCGCCCCTGCATATAATCCGCACCCCAACTTTCAGCACACCGAGAAAGAAAAATAAAAATCCTCGCGTATTGCCCGCACATTTGATATACAGGAACGGCTGTACAAAGCTACTGCTCAAGCAACATAGCACATATGTAGACAGAAAAAGCTTTATTTAGCAAGCAGAATATGCTGTCTGCAAGGCCAGTCACAATTCACTCACTGTCGCTGCTCTCGCAAGAGCTATCACTTGAGCCGCAGTCCTCACTATTATGCACAAGGTCATCTTCGGTTCCATCTATGTTGTTTGTGATGCAGCATTTCTTGAAACTTTTTCGCACCATCTCACCTGGAATGGCCTTCCATGCCTCGACAATCCACTTGCAAAATAGGCAATATCGGGCCTTCGGACTCGTCCTGTCGGCGTCAAGTCGTAGCAGCCTTCGGCCATCCACTCGGCGTAATAGCGTTTGACATGCGGTTTGAAGGGCTTGTTAAGCGACACATCTAGAGGCTGCAACATTGACGTCATTCCACCGGGTATAACAACTAAGTCGGTGCCGTTGTGTGAAAGGCGGTCCTTCACTTCCTCAGTTGTGTGGCCGCGGAACGAGTCAAGAACGAGCATGGACCTCTTTGCGAGCATCGCACCGGGGCTCTTCTCCCATACCGTCTTGATCCAGTCTACGAACAAGTCATTGTTCATCCACGCATTCTCGTGTGCGCGCACCACCACACCGGCAGGCAAATGAACCTTTGGTAGAGTTTTCCTTTTCAAGATGACGTACGGTGAGGGCATGATGACGTCGGCGAGGGCACAAAGCAAGACTGTGATGCACAGTTTCGTGTTCCCGCGGGTCAGCACGCTCACCGAACTGCTGCCCGTCTTCTCAATCGTCGTGTCCAACAGCATTTCAAAATAAACAGGAGTTTCATCCGCATTGCCGATTTGCGAGAAAATGTAATTGTGCTGCTTTCACAGGCCAATTACATATCTCTGGTACATGAGCGGCTTCTCCTCATAAGAAGCCGGCAAGCGTTGACATATTGTAGTCCGCCGTGTGATTGAAAGCCCTTGCCGCTTCATAAAGCGGTGCAGCCATCCGCGGCTCACACGGAACTCGTGAGGTAGGCCTAGCTCCCTCGAAAGTCGCCGCGCTTCCACTTGGGCCATCTCGGTTGATACAGCGTGACCCCTGCTTCTCACATCTTCGATGAACTTTACTAGCTCCGTCTCCAGCTCAGGGTAGGCACCGGTCTTGGGGCCACGAAATGACCTACGATCGCGGTTGCGCGGCTTGTAGGCTCTCTTTCTTCTTTCTCCACAGTCGCACGCAGGACTCGTCCACATTGTGCCGTCTACCCGCTTTGCGATTTCCGAATTCCTCGGCGACGGCGATGATCTTAATCTTTTTCTGTGCTGTGAAGGCCTGCCGCAGTACGCTACTCATGGTGACAGAACAGATAGACTTAGGCTTGGCGAACGGGTCGAGATGTGGAGAACTAGCAGTACCAGCGAGGTAAAGAGCGCTCACACTCGGCGACAACTTGACAGCACTACCCCTTCTAGTACACTGTAACAGTACCCTGAAAACAACAGAACCGAAATGCATGCCTGCTACCGCGTCATAAAGTGGTACATTAATTTACTGATAATATCTCTATAGGCACTATAATATCTCATTTGCCTTGCTGAAATAAATACTGCTTTATTTATTATGGAACTTTCTTAGCACCACCTTTTCGGCAAGCCCTTTCCAAAAGTAAACATGGCGTCCGTGACGTAGGAACATGTGGAGGGTCACTGAGCGGCCGCGAACGTCCAAAAAATATACTTGTGGTGTGACAGTGAGATTTTACACTGAACAATCGAATTGTCTCTCCCCAAATGTTTTTCTAAACACTTCAACGATGCAAGCAAGCGAAACCAAGATCGGCCGCAAGCTACCGTGCTACTCGCGGAGCAACAGGAATTTGCGGAAGCCACCTCCGTAGCCTTCGCTACACTGTTAAGGGGCTTCACAGCACAACACGCTTTGCTACGAAGCAGCACTATAGGAAAAACCCCGCGTATTATTCGCACCTCCACTTTGCCACTGAAATTTTCGGGTTTCTGGTACGGGTTATGCGCGCATAAATACGGTATGTCCTGAGATCGTCTTTGCCTGTTTGAAAAGTACTCCAGCATGCATTGCAGTATACCAAACTTTGCACCATGAAATGCTCTTTGCAAAAAATATTTTAAAATGAACAAAAATGGGAAAAGTGGAAATTTCCATTGCCAACTGACAAACAGTAGAATAAAAAACACTATTTATGCAAAAATAATCAAAACAAAGAAAGTTCAGAATATACGTTTTGTGGATAAATGACCCAGGAACAGTATAAAAAATAATGAGTTTTGTACGAAATGTTTTTCTTCACATAGACCAACAAAATCGGAACCCTGGTGCTGCTTCGTTGCTCGTGCCATGCAG